TGAGCTACTACAGTGAAACACAAGGGCACACTCAGATTTTTTTTAAAATGAGGAACAGACAATGAAATCATAATCCTGTTAGGTAAAAGTGTTACCTTCTGTTTAACATCTAAAAGGTTATGGCTTCTTAATAACTTGGGAGAGTTTCCATATCTAATGTAATACCTGCCCTTTTAGAGGGTTGGCATTCGTTCTGCATGGACCAGCATAGTGCATATGGTGGCTCTACTGTGACTGAGCTCCTGCTCCCAGGTTCTCTCAGACTTCTTAAAGATGGACAGGAGTCAACATTCAGAGCATTTCAGACAGCTGCTCACCCACACTGTAGTGAGCGAGGCAGAGAATGAGAAATTGTTGCTTCTCTAGAAAGGATTATGGGGGCGTTTAAGGGTTATTTTTCTTCCTTAATAATCAAGCTGAGAAATGGAATTACTTCTTTGAAGGCTGTGCGTTCTGTAAAAAGTATAAATAAATGTCTTTAGAAATGAGCCTAAGATTTTCTCTAGAATTCAGAAAGGCGTCACAGATGCGGTGAGAGCCGTAAGGTATGCCTCAGAACCTACTGCGTTGCTGATGATGCTACATGGGTAAAACTTGGTACCAGGTAACATGGACAGCAAATAATGGCCTGTTGTCTATTTTAATGCCCCTCTTTTATTGTAGGATTGTAAACTCTGAAAAGATGCTGTATGCTGTAAAATTAAGTATTAATTTGATTTTAGGATTTTCTGTTGGCACCATCTAGGATTTTTGTGATTTTTAACTTTTTAGGGTAAAGGGAAAAGTGAACGTTTGCTGGTAATTCAAGTAGAAACTTTCCTTTAGCAAAATATTCTTAAATTTAAAGAAGTTGCCACCAGCTATTTCTGGAATTACAGTGAATACTGTTAGATATTGATTTGCTTCTTAGAGTTTAATGGCTCTTATGGAGGGTATTCAGTATCTGTTGTATTTTGGAGTTAATGAATGCGAACACATTTAAATTCTTGAGGTCATGACAAAAGTGTTTAGGTATTGTTTAAGTCGAGAGATTATACATGTAGCTTGTTCTCTGTTTACATAATTGCGTCAGTGGGGTCGGGGGCTAGTGGCAGTTTACAAGTAAGCAGCGTTATTTCTCCATGTGTTAGCCAGCCTTTTTAAAAACCTGCTGCCCATCTACATGACTTCCTGTTAGGGGCACTGAATGCTTTCTAGTAGGTTGGTTTTGAATAAACTCCATCTGCATTTACCCTTTTCATATTTCTGTCTTGGGTCCTGTCCTGTTGGACCAGTTACAGCATATGGGAGCTAGGGCAAGATAAGAACTTGTCTCATAAGATAAGATGTAATTCACAGATGTTCCCCTCACTTAACTTTGTATAATTACGTGACATGAGTCTTAGCATGGATGGCTGTGCAAGCAAGGAAAGAATTGGAAGCTCCAGGGGATGGTGTCCTCAGTAATATTTGTGAAATATTTGAAGGAGTAATATGGACAGAAATTGGATTTGAGGATGAATGTTGCCAAATTCTCTCACATCATCTAAACAATATGATTGTGTCTTAAGTTTCATTCTTCTCAAATCTCTGTGTTGTGCTTACAAGAACATAACCAACTTACTAGTTAAGTTTTCTTTTCTCATGCCACGGCTGAGAGCTGTCCTCTTTCCCAGGAGAAAGTGGCCACCAAAGTGAGGTGTGTGGAAGTCTCTAATAATTGCAGTGTGAAGCTGATAAAAACTAACTTTCATGCTCTGTATATATGCCCTTGTATTTTCATTATGATGAGTAGCTAGTCCTTGTTGCTGATGAATATTGTAGATACATTGAACACAGTAAGAAATGGTTAAGTACAGAGTGCTTAGTCGGTGTTTTCATTTCTCAGATAAAGGTAGAAATTTGCACATCTGATTTTAATGATTCCTGTCCCCTCCATTTCTCTTGTTAGTAACATCCGCTGTTTCAAGATCGATCAGCCGTCTGCAGGAGACACATCTGGAGCCTCGGCTGTATGGAGCCATGGCTACACCGAAGCTTCAGGGGTGAAAAACAAGTAAGTGTGTGAAACTTCGGAGTGAGAACTGCCTCTAGTCCTCAGAAGGAAACCCCACTAGTGCACACTTTCCTCATATTTAATTGAGCATGTTTCCCCAAAGTGAGGCCCCCTCATGACTTAATGTTTGAACATTGAGCTAGGCCCTGCTTGGCATTACATACTCTGTCTTTGTGAGAGCTGTTGCTAGGATACAGTGTAACTGACACATTATATCTATGTGAGAGGCCAGTGTTTGGAGAAGGCATAAGTATTGAAATGCATCCCTGCTCTTTTGAAAGCCCCTTTATCTTCTCTGAAGCCTGTTTTCCAAGCAAAAAAGGGATAATATTAAAGGAGAAGTAGCTTCAGTTCCCATATTTGAGCTCACTGATATTATTGACCAGCCACTGGTTCTGTGGAGCTATTTTTCACAATCTACATCAGCTTGCAGGAGTGTGATGTCCATTCCCTGTAATGTCAACTGCTTTTCTTGCTACCAGGACTTGTCTATCTGTTTTTCTTCCCTATTTTCATCAACCTTCTCTGTCTTAGATGCAAATGTTGATTTTCCTGAGAATTCTAATCAAGCTCTTCAGACTTGCTTGTTTTTTATGAAGAGGTGCTAATAATTAGTAATAGAAATATAAAGAATCCTATAATTAAAAGTCATAATTTAATTAGCTAAGGTATAAGAACAAAATATTGAGAATAGAGGAAGAACAGAAAGTGGAGGATGGACTTAAATAATAGCTAGCATTAGTATTCAACGCTGGGTGCACATTAGAATCAGTCAGGAGAGGAACTTTTAAAAAATTCTCCAACGTAGGCTTATTGAACCAGGACATTTGAAAAATCTCCCCAGAGGATTCTGATATGCATCCAGGATCGAGAACCGCTGGCTAGCTGAATACTCTTTGTGGAAAATAAAGGGTGGCATGGCAGTTGCCATGCTGACTACTTTTCTTTTAGGATAGAAAACAGAATCAACTCAAGTTCTGGATCTAATCTTTCCTCTTTCCTCTTTCCCTAAGGGTGTGATTTGGCATTGTGCCATTTAGAGAAGAAGTAGGCCCCCGTTTCAACACCTCCATTCCATTTGCCAAGTGAAGGCAGAATAACCGGTCACCCCCGTTCCTGGTTGTTGCACTCATTCTATGTCCTTTGCACTGTATATCACTGTATTTTGGGGAGATGGTGAGAAATTAGTACATTCTTTGGGGCAAAGTTCCTTTCTAGAGATCAATCAGTTTTTAGCATAAAGACCTTATGTCTTAAAACCACCAGTATGTGAAACTGCTTTCTAATTCCAGAACAAAGACATGGAACCCAAGATTGGTTTTTCATCATCTCTGGATATTAAAATTTATTATCTACTCATATATTAATGAAGAAAATGACCAATTAGATCTGGTTTGGTTTTTCTGCATAGTTCCCCCTTCCACAATTACTTTTTTAAAAATGTCTGTTATGTTGAAGTACGAAATGGGTATGGAAAAGTACACAGATGATAGGCATATGACTAACTCTGTGAATGGTCCTACCATCTGCAAACTACCACCTAGATAAAAAAATAGAATGTTCCAGCATCTCAGAAATCTATGCCACCCCTGGCCCTCACTTGATTTTCCCTTGCTTGTTTGGTTTTGCCAGCAGAAGTTTCTCAAGTGTTCTCTTCTTGATTTGTAGATCAACTGGTCTTTCATCTACATCTTGCCATCTTGATGGAGGAGAGAACTGTGCTTATCCCTGCCTGCAGGTCTCTGTAGATTTCTGTACCATCTCTCCTTCCCCAAGTGGTGCAGTGCTGCCTCCATCTCCGCTCATTTCTGATCCTTTGGGGAAACCCAAGCAGGAGCTACAGCTGGATAATTTCGGTTCTTCCTCAGACTAAAAAACAAACAGGAAGCTATAGTGGAAAAGAAGAATCACTATTGTACTTTTAAAAAACACATTATGTCCTTTTCTTTTTTTTTACATCACCCCCATTCTGACTAGCAGGAATAAAGATAGAATTATAAGGTGATTTAATATTGTAGTATTAAATTTTACTTTGCCACCGGTTACTGTATCATTTGGCATGACTTTTTTTTCTTAATAAATGAAGGCAAGAATTTCAGAGTACTGAGATAAGAGGCAGACCGCTTGGCTTTGAATCTGGGCTCTAAACTTACTTGCTCTGTGACCTTCTGCAGTTACTTAACCTTTCTTTGGCTTAATTTCCTCATCTATAAAATGGCCCTAAAAATACTACTTGTCTTCACAGGGTGGTTGTAAGGATCCCCTCAGTTACATATGTGAAGCACTTAGAACAAGTCTTGCTATATAATAAACCCTGTTTAAGTGTTAGCTACTATTATTGTTAATGATAGTGCTTATCACTATTGTTATTTATCCCCAAACTCCTTAGGAGCAGGGATTATCTTTTCAGGTTCATATCTCTTGTTTAGCTGTGGTATATATCAGGTACTTGGTAATTTTTTTCTTTTAATGAGTTTATATACAGTAAGAAGGTATGATTTATATTCAGTAAAATTCATCCTTTTTAGTGTGCAGATCTGCAGCTAAAGATGATGAAAGAATATCACTATTTAACCACTACCAGTGAAGTTATAGAGCGGTTCCATCACTCCTACAGCACTGCCATGCCCCTCTGTTGTTAGTTCTCCCTATCTCCAACTGCTGGCAACTCCAGACTTGTGTTTTATTCCATTTGTTTTGCCTTTTCTGGAACGTCAATTCTCAGTCCACCTCTGTCACTCAGCATGGTGCATTTTAGATTCATTTATGATGCTGCATGTGTTAGTAGTCTGTTCCTTTTTACTGCTGAGTATTACTTCATTGCATGAGTGTATTGTGATTTATCCATTCACCATTTGAAAGATAAATGATTTAGATTGTTTCAAGTTTTTAGCAAATACAAACAAAAATGCTATGAACTGTTACATACATGTTTTTGAACATATGTGTTCATTCTCTTAGGTAAATACCTGGAGTAGGATTGCTGGGTCATATGATAAACATACATTTAATTTTATAAGAAACTGCTGAACGTTTCCCAAAGTGGCTGTACAATTCTGTGTTCCCAGCAGCAAGTTGTTAGAGTTCCTGCTGCTCCACGTCCTTAGCAGTACATGCTGTCATCAGATGGTGGTAGTGATGGTGATTTAGGCCATTCTAATAGCAGTACCTCATTATGATTTTAATTTGCATTTCCCTAATGATTAATGATGTTGATTGTCTTTTCACAATCTTATTTATCATCCATCCATATATCTTCTTTGGTGAGAATGTGTTCTTTCACAATGTGCCTTTAGCTGAAGGCATTTTTGTGGATACCCGTCAATCAAGTTATGAAAACTACCTTCTAATCATAATTTGCTAAGAGTTTTTATAATGGGTATCAGATTTTGTCATAAGCTCTTTCTGTATCAATTGAGGTGATCAGATTTTTCTTCCTTACTTTGTTAATATGATAAACTACATTGATTTTAAAACAGTGAATCAGCTTTGCATTCCCAGGATAAATTCCAGATGGTTATGATACATTATCCTTTTTATATGCTACTGGGTTCAATTTCCTGGTGATTCATTGAACATATCTATATTTATAATGGATATTAGCCTGTTGTTTTCTTGTGATGTCTTTGTCTGGTTTTATCAGGTAATGTTCACATTTTGTGGAAGAGTTTGTACAGAATTGATACCATTTCTTCTTTAAATATCTCCCTTTGGTAGAATATATTCCAGTAAAGGTATCTAGGCCTAAAATTTTTTATGGTTTTTAACTAAACATACAATTTCTTTAATATAAGATTATCTCTTTCTTCTTGAATGAACTTTGGTAATTTGTGCCTTTCAAGGAATCTATTTCATCTAGTTTCCAAATTTACTGGCATAATTTTGTTCATAATATTCCATTCTTATCCTTCTAATGTCTGTAGGATCTGTTGTGATGTCTCTCCCCTCTCTCATTCCTGATACTGGTAATTTGTATCATGTCTTTTTATTCTGATCAACTTGGTTTGAGGTTTATTAATTTTATTGATATTCTCAAAGAACCAGCTTTTGGTTTAATTAATTTTTCTCTGCTGTTTTTCTGTTTTCTGTTTTATTGACTCCTCTTACTTTTATTACTTCCTTTCTGCTTGCTTTGGGTTTGTTTTGCTCTTATTTTTCTAGTTTCCTAAGGTGGAAGGATGCTTTTTTTTTTTTTTGGAGATAATCAACATCTTTATAAATCGAGCATTTACAGTAAAAATAACATATTTGGTTAAGGGGAGTCATGAAATCAGTAAAAGTAACAATGAATTTAAGAGTTATACTAAATATTTATACAAAAGCACTGTACTTTATTTAACTCCCCTTGTGGAGATTAGAAACATTAAATAGGTAATGAGTTTTTTATTTGAAGCTCATTCTCCTCTTTGTGCTGCAGACCAAAGTGTTTTCCAGGCAGTTAACTAGGCAGGCGTCAGGCTTGTTCTCTGACCTGCATTTCTTATTGTCCAGTTTGTGAATACTGTTGTTTCTCTCTTTTTCTGCTTTTTTAAGAGTTATTTGAGACTTTTCATGTTTTTATATACTTTTCTGATTTTTCATATTTTTTCTGGTTTTTTTAGGTGTTACTACTTTTCTGCCCATTGTAGAAGTTCTCCTTAATAAATACTTTGTGAATGAATGTGGATATATGGACTCGTAATCTTGTATTATTTCCTCTGCCTCTTATTCTTTCTTTCACTGCCATTTAAAAATAAAATACATCTGAAACCAGCATAATATTGTATAGTAATTATATTCCAACTTAAAAAGAGAGAGGGGGAAGAAAGAATGTAGAGCGGAGGATCAAATTCTTAAGAAATTCATTAAAAACTCTTACTGCGAATTAGATAAATAAGTAAAATTAGAAGAAGATAAGGGTGGGGGAAGCCATGTATGAAGTATAAATGTGTTAATCATTCTTTGGCTACAGAAATTGGTTGATATAAGTTAGCTGATAATCAGCTTAATCTGTCAGAGGGCGTGCAGGAAAGTGTGACCTGAGCTAGGCATAGCTGAATAAAAATAGAATTGGCCCAGGCATGAAGAAAGGAGTGGGAGTAGACTTAGCACATTCTTGCTTTGTAGATTATGTGTCGCAGCCCTGTCGGTGAATAACTTCTGTGATAACCGGGAGGCCCTCTATGGTGTATTCGATGGAGACCGTAACGTGGAGGTGCCCTACCTTCTCCAGTGTACTATGAGCGACATTTTGGCCGAGGAGCTTCAGAAAACAAAAAATGAAGAAGAATACATGGTCAATACATTCATTGTTATGCAAAGGTAAACCTTACAGTCCCTGCTATGTTTTCTTGCTCTTCTTTGAGTGTTTGCCCTCTGGTTAGAAAAATAAGTGCCCAATAATCTCAAAGCACTGTTGTTGAATATGGGTTTTCAAGATCATTCAGGCAATTTGGTTTTGCCCAAGCATCAGGTATGGACTGTGTTCCACTTGAGACACTACTGATGTTCAGGCAGCGTTTGTAGGAGGCCAAGTCAATGACAGGAATTTAGTTTCTCTTAGAACTGCATCTCACAGCCTGTCATGATTCCAGAGCTTCACTGGATTATTCACAACACACTTCCACCTGCCCCTGGATCCCATGAGCCTGAGGACTGTTTCTATCTCAGTTTGCTCAACATAATGCATGCCTTTGTGAACTTGAAATGGTTAAATTTCAGGCCAGGAGTTAAATCATTCTTCATATATTGTTTTTTCCTCCTTATTAAATGTTCAAGATAATGTTACTGGCAGAATCTAGGCCAGTGCCTAGAGTTTTTGTCACTGTAGAAGTTGTGGAATGTTGTTTGTAACTCCTAGAGCTGAATGTTATTAAGCATTCCCTCTTTCAAAGGATTGAATGTTCTTTTGTCACTCTATGGCCTTGAAGGTTGTAAAGGAATTGCCTGCCTATTAATACTGCACAGCAAACAGTGGCTCATATGGGGCCGGGAAGTGCAGAGTGCTCCAAAGGTCATGGGGACAATGACAATCTTCTCTCTTTCTGTCCTTTTTCTCTCCCTTGAGAGAAAGTATCTTTGTAACAGGGTAGGAAAAGTATCTGCTAAAGAATGCAGGTTTGGAGCAGCCTTTTAAGTTACCTAAGTCATGAGTAGTTCCCCTTTAAGAGCTGGGTAGAGGCCAGCCCCGTGAGGTTCTTTGCTATAGACTCATCTCTGTCTTTCACATTCTCAATGGACATGTACAATTGTATTGGATACTGAGAATAGCTAGTTTTTAGTGAGCCCTTAATGTGTACAGTCATTATTCTAAATGCCTTACATGCCATAAATTTTCCCCAGAGGGGTTTAGAGAGGGGGACGGAGAGGAGTGGTCATGTGCCTGTGGTCTCTGGCGTGTGGGGAGAGGGGAGCAGCAGGCCGGATGCAGCAGGCCAGGGCTCCCTTACCCACACTGGCTCCTGGGGCTTGCAGTGTCACTTCGCCCCAGTTGTGAGCAGACATCTCTCTGTGTGCAGGTGTGTGTGTCAGATTACATGGGCCCTTTTCCTCGGAGAAGTTGCTGTGCCTGCTTTGGTGAAAGAGGCTGAATGGAACGCCCAGATTCTGTTTTCCTCCTCGCCCTGGCCACTGGTACAGTCTTCCTGTTGAATTAGCAAAACTGACACATGATGGGATATGTCTGGGTTTTTACCCCTTCTCTTTGGATTCTAGGAAACTTGGAACTGCTGGGCAGAAACTCGGAGGTGCTGCTGTCCTTTGCCATATCAAGCATGACTCTGTGGACCCAGGAGGATCCTTCACCTTGACCTCTGCGAATGTGGGCAAGTGCCAAGCGGTTCTCTGTCGGAATGGGAAGCCATTGCTTCTGTCCAGATCCTGTGTCATGAGCTGTGAAGAAGAACTGAAGAGAGTTAAACGGCACAAGGCCATCATCACTGAGGTGAGGGGAGGGTGGTTGTCCTCAGATGGCGGGAGGACAGGGCCAGGGCTCTGGCAGAAACCTGCCAGGGAGCATTTTCCTTAAAGAAAGGTCTTTGAAATCGGTTCACAGTTCAAATTCCAAATCCATAGTGTCGCAGTGTAAATTCTTTGTATGATAAATATGAGGACATGATAGTGCGCAGAATAATAAACCATTTATCGATGGCCTGTGTGTCAGGGCTGTGCTAAAGGCTCATGACATCCCCTCATGTGCTTCTCACTCTGCAGAGGCTCTTGCAGATGGTTGAGGGCCCCACCCCTGGAATCCTGCAGGTACTGGTATCCTAGCTCTGCTGCTTGCATGCTATGACCTTTAAACCTCCAAGCCTCAGTTTCCTCATCTGTAAACTGGGAAGAGTAATGCATCTGATCTGTCTCAAAAGGCTAGTGTATCGGGGTAAATGTAAGTAGTTGTTAGTTTGGTTCACGTGTCATTTCATTTGACTAATAAGTAAGGCAGCGAGTGGTTTTCAACCAGGGTGATTTTGCCCCACATGGGACATATAGCAACATCTGGAGACATTTCTGTTGTCACAGCTGGTACAGAGAGTGCTTTTGGCTTGTAGTAGGCAGAGGCAGGTTTTGCTAATATCCTCCAGAGAACAGGATGGCACCCTCCACAAAGAATTATTTGGCCCAAAATGTCATCATGCCACTGTTGAGAAACCCTGGAGGAAGTCTGCCTCTAAGCAGATTCATCACAGTGCCACTTCAACACAGTCTCTAGGGGCTCTGCTCTGCTCCCTAACTCATCATATGACGTTGACCACCTGTGGGCCTGAGAAATGAAAAGGGGATGCGGACGTGCAACCGCAGACATCTGCCCACAGGAGGTGTCCAGTCTTATATTAGTAGAACCCACAGAACCATGTAAAGCCTAGGCAGACAGTAGTGAACGTGCAGTTCAGTAAAGAAAAAGACTGTGATTCCAGATAGGCTTTGTTAAGGGCCCTATGGCTGAGAGACTCAGGACCCCCTGTGAGTCTCTGTGTCAATTTTTAGTTCCTTGCCTATTCCGGGAGCAGAGGGGATCAAAATGGACAGCAGACACTGTTAGGGAGCAAAGACAGTCTAAGGTGGGACATAATGTATTGAAGCAAGCATTCAACATTGCATGATATGAAGGCTAACAGTTTCTACTATATAAAGGCATCACACTTGGTGCTTTGAATTTTTCTCTTGTTTTCTCTGCCCTTCCTCATCCTCACTTTTGTCTGCATTGCTGAATATTCAACCCCCTTTGGCTTTTCTCTTCTCTACTTGGAGGCACATCCCCAAAACATGCACACACGTGTGTGCAACCATTGTTTCTGATGGGGAGAGATCTGTGAAGGTTTGGGCAGAACTACAAGGGAAATTTCTGCTGAATTCTACACTTTGGGGAAGAATTAATTAGCAGGATTAAGGGAGTTATAAATTGTGTTTGAAGCACAATTAGTAATTTTGCTTCTAAGTAATTTTACTTCTAAGAATATTTTTAGTAACTGTGGTTCTAAGAATGCTGGCTGCTCCAGATTGTGTGCAGAGCTTGGGAAGGCACTCCCAGATAAGGGAAGGTGGGCGGGGTTGGCGGGGTTGAAAGGGGAATGGCATTCTCTGGATGAAACACTTCCTTTGAGGGGCATGGTGAGGCCATCTCTGTTACCTCATACCTGTTACCCTAGTCACCCACTACAAATTGCCCTTGTCATAATAGAGCCTTCTCTGGAAAAGATGTTAAAAATAGCAGCATGTAGAGGCATGTTACAGACCTTAGAACCTTAAATGTGAAGAGAGAACCAAGCAGGTGCCCAGGTTGTCTTCCTGCCTCCCCTCTAGCTGCCGAGTAAAGGGGTCTGGTGAATGGTCTGAAACTTTGGCTTGTGATTTAAATGTCATGAACCCAAAAAACCCAGAGACCAACTTCTCCATTCGCCACCAGGAAAACCAGTTCAAGGAAATGATGGGAATCGGCACTTCCTCCCTTAGCTCTACCTCTCCAAACACATCATTCTTACCCAGCTAGTCAACCAGGACTTCACCACCATTTATGTTCTTAACCTTAACTTGAAAATAGTGTCTCTCTGCCCCCTTCTGGACCTCAGACACCACCGCTCCTGTGGTCCATGCACCGTTGGGAGTTACATTTGGGGCATTATCTCACACCGTCTCTGCCTCGTGTGTCTGCTCAGGACCGGCTTATTCCAGAAAAGCTCATGCCCTCCTGCGGGTTACAGGGGAAGCCAATCGACCACGCGGCTGTGTCCGGCTAGAGGGTGGTTGGCTTCGAGGTGAATGGGTCTTGTTAACGTGTGAACATGAGCCCAAAGGGAAAAGGTGAAGTACTTTGTCTTTGTCCCTCCTGCTCCTGATGTCAGGTTCCTGCCCCAAGTTTGTGATGACAGGTGGACATTAACCACTCACCAGAGAGTGAGCCCTTCCCTTTGAGTGGCCCAGACAGACTCCCCCGGCCTCGGGTGGGAGGCTGCCAGGAAGCTGCACGCTTGCCACACACACTGCCTGTTAATGTGTCTGGAAACTCCTCTTCCAGGATGGCAAGGTGAATGGAGTGACCGAGTCCACGCGCATCCTGGGCTACACCTTCCTCCACCCCAGTGTGGTTCCTCGCCCCCACGTGCAGTCCGTGCCCTTGACGCCCCAGGACGAGTTCTTCATCCTGGGCAATAAGGGCTTGTGGGACAGCCTGTCCATCGAGGAGGCGGTGGGGGCCGTGCGCAACGTGCCCGACGCCCTGGCCGCCGCCAAGAAGCTGTGCACGCTGGCCCAGAGCTACGGCTGCCACGACAGCGTCAGCGCCGTGGTGGTGCAGCTCAGTGTCACCGAGGACAGCTTCTGCTGCTGCGAGCTCGGCGCAGGTGGAGCCGGGCCGCCGCCCAGCCCGGGCATCTTCCCTCCCTCCGTCAGCATGGTGCTCAAGGACCGGCCGGCCGACGGCCTGGGCGGGCCGTCCTCCAGCAGCGGCATGGCCTCCGAGATCAGCAGTGAGCTCTCCACCTCCGAGATGAGCAGCGAGGTGGGGTCCACGGCTTCGGACGAGCCCCCGTCTGGCCTCCTGAATGAGAACAGCCCCGCCTACCCCAGCGAGCAGCGCTGCATGCTCCACCCGGTCGGCCTGGCCAGCTCCTTCCAGCGCCAGCTGTCCAGCGCCACCTTCTCCAGCGCCTTCTCTGACAACGGCCTGGACAGCGATGACGAGGAACCCATCGAGGGCGTCTTCACCAACGGCAGCCGGGTGGAGGTGGAGGTCGACATTCACTGCAGCCGGGCCAGGGAGAAGCGGCAGCATCTGCTCCAGGTGCCGGCGGAGGCCAGCGACGAGGGCATTGTCATCAGCGCCAACGAGGACGAGCCGGGGCTGCCCAGGAGGGTGGACTTGGCTGCCCTGGGGACCATCGGGCGCCGGAGGGCTAACGGCTCCGTGGCGCCGCAGGAGAGGAGCCACAATGTGATAGAGGTGGCGGCTGACGCACCCCTCCGAAAGGCCGGAGGCTATTTTGCCGCCCCGACGCAGCCGGATCCCGACGACCAGTTCATCATCCCCCCCGAGCTGGAGGAGGAGGTCAGAGAGATCATGAAGCACCACCACCAGCAGCGGCAGGGCCCGGGGGCGCCGCCGCCGGACTGCTGCGACACGCCGCTGTGACCGCTGGGGTGCTGGCGGGCAGACCAGCCGAGCAAGGCTGAGCCGCAGGGGCTCCCGGCTCGGCTCGCGCTGAACCAGGGCTTCCCCCTCGCCGAGCCCTGTCTTTGCAGCCTGTCTGTAGATTCCTTTTGTTGGTCATTTTTAAAATAATTACCACTTTTCTTCTAGTGCTTTACCAATATGATTTAAATTTGTTAACTCCTTCCCCTAACATATCAGATGTATAAAGACAAAGAACAAAAGGTTTAATATATTACAGAGAAACAGTTTCCCTCCACAAAGAATTATTTGGCCCAAAATGTCATCATGCCACTGTTGAGAAACCCTGGAGGAAGTCTGCCTCTAAGCAGATTCATCACAGTGCCACTTCAACACAGTCTCTAGGGGCTCTGCTCTGCTCCCTAACTCATCATATGACGTTGACCACCTGTGGGCCTGAGAAATGAAAAGGGGATGCAGACGTGCAACCGCAGACATCTGCCCACAGGAGGTGTCCAGTCTTATATTAGTAGAACCCACAGAACCATGTAAAGCCTAGGCAGACAGTAGTGAACGTGCAGTTCAGTAAAGAAAAAGACTGTGATTCCAGATAGGCTTTGTTAAGGGCCCTATGGCTGAGAGACTCAGGACCCCCTGTGAGTCTCTGTGTCAATTTTTAGTTCCTTGCCTATTCCGGGAGCAGAGGGGATTAAAATGGACAGCAGACACTGTTAGGGAGCAAAGACAGTCTAAGGTGGGACATAATGTATTGAAGCAAGCATTCAACATTGCATGATATGAAGGCTAACAGTTTCTACTATATAAAGGCATCACACTTGGTGCTTTGAATTTTTCTCTTGTTTTCTCTGCCCTTCCTCATCCTCACTTTTGTCTGCATTGCTGAATATTCAACCCCCTTTGGCTTTTCTCTTCTCTACTTGGAGGCACATCCCCAAAACATGCACACACGTGTGTGCAACCATTGTTTCTGATGGGGAGAGATCTGTGAAGGTTTGGGCAGAACTACAAGGGAAATTTCTGCTGAATTCTACACTTTGGGGAAGAATTAATTAGCAGGATTAAGGGAGTTATAAATTGTGTTTGAAGCACAATTAGTAATTTTGCTTCTAAGTAATTTTACTTCTAAGAATATTTTTAGTAACTGTGGTTCTAAGAATGCTGGCTGCTCCAGATTGTGTGCAGAGCTTGGGAAGGCACTCCCAGATAAGGGAAGGTGGGCGGGGTTGGCGGGGTTGAAAGGGGAATGGCATTCTCTGGATGAAACACTTCCTTTGAGGGGCATGGTGAGGCCATCTCTGTTACCTCATACCTGTTACCCTAGTCACCCACTACAAATTGCCCTTGTCATAATGGAGCCTTCTCTGGAAAAGATGTTAAAAATAGCAGCATGTAGAGGCATGTTACAGACCTTAGAACCTTAAATGTGAAGAGAGAACCAAGCAGGTGCCCAGGTTGTCTTCCTGCCTCCCCTCTAGCTGCCGAGTAAAGGGGTCTGGTGAATGGTCTGAAACTTTGGCTTGTGATTTAAATGTCATGAACCCAAAAAACCCAGAGACCAACTTCTCCATTCGCCACCAGGAAAACCAGTTCAAGGAAATGATGGGAATCGGCACTTCCTCCCTTAGCTCTACCTCTCCAAACACATCATTCTTACCCAGCTAGTCAACCAGGACTTCACCACCATTTATGTTCTTAACCTTAACTTGAAAATAGTGTCTCTCTGCCCCCTTCTGGACCTCAGACACCACCGCTCCTGTGGTCCATGCACCGTTGGGAGTTACATTTGGGGCATTATCTCACACCGTCTCTGCCTCGTGTGTCTGCTCAGGACCGGCTTATTCCAGAAAAGCTCATGCCCTCCTGCGGGTTACAGGGGAAGCCAATCGACCACGCGGCTGTGTCCGGCTAGAGGGTGGTTGGCTTCGAGGTGAATGGGTCTTGTTAACGTGTGAACATGAGCCCAAAGGGAAAAGGTGAAGTACTTTGTCTTTGTCCCTTCTGCTCCTGATGTCAGGTTCCTGCCCCAAGTTTGTGATGACAGGTGGACATTAACCACTCACCAGAGAGTGAGCCCTTCCCTTTGAGTGGCCCAGACAGACTCCCCCGGCCTCGGGTGGGAGGCTGCCAGGAAGCTGCACGCTTGCCACACACACTGCCTGTTAATGTGTCTGGAAACTCCTCTTCCAGGATGGCAAGGTGAATGGAGTGACCGAGTCCACGCGCATCCTGGGCTACACCTTCCTCCACCCCAGTGTGGTTCCTCGCCCCCACGTGCAGTCCGTGCCCTTGACGCCCCAGGACGAGTTCTTCATCCTGGGCAATAAGGGCTTGTGGGACAGCCTGTCCATCGAGGAGGCGGTGGGGGCCGTGCGCAACGTGCCCGACGCCCTGGCCGCCGCCAAGAAGCTGTGCACGCTGGCCCAGAGCTACGGCTGCCACGACAGCGTCAGCGCCGTGGTGGTGCAGCTCAGCGTCACCGAGGACAGCTTCTGCTGCTGCGAGCTCGGCGCAGGTGGAGCCGGGCCGCCGCCCAGCCCGGGCATCTTCCCTCCCTCCGTCAGCATGGTGCTCAAGGACCGGCCGGCCGACGGCCTGGGGGGGCCGTCCTCCAGCAGCGGCATGGCCTCCGAGATCAGCAGTGAGCTCTCCACCTCCGAGATGAGCAGCGAGGTGGGGTCCACGGCTTCGGACGAGCCCCCGTCTGGCCTCCTGAATGAGAACAGCCCCGCCTACCCCAGCGAGCAGCGCTGCATGCTCCACCCGGTCGGCCTGGCCAGCTCCTTCCAGCGCCAGCTGTCCAGCGCCACCTTCTCCAGCGCCTTCTCTGACAACGGCCTGGACAGCGATGACGAGGAACCCATCGAGGGCGTCTTCACCAACGGCAGCCGGGTGGAGGTGGAGGTCGACATTCACTGCAGCCGGGCCAGGGAGAAGCGGCAGCATCTGCTCCAGGTGCCGGCGGAGGCCAGCGACGAGGGCATTGTCATCAGCGCCAACGAGGACGAGCCGGGGCTGCCCAGGAGGGTGGACTTGGCTGCCCTGGGGACCATCGGGCGCCGGAGGGCTAACGGCTCCGTGGCGCCGCAGGAGAGGAGCCACAATGTGATAGAGGTGGCGGCTGACGCACCCCTCCGAAAGGCCGGAGGCTATTTTGCCGCCCCGACGCAGCCGGATCCCGACGACCAGTTCATCATCCCCCCCGAGCTGGAGGAGGAGGTCAGAGAGATCATGAAGCACCACCACCAGCAGCGGCAGGGCCCGGGGGCGCCGCCGCCGGACTGCTGCGACACGCCGCTGTGACCGCTGGGGTGCTGGCGGGCAGACCAGCCGAGCAAGGCTGAGCCGCAGGGGCTCCCGGCTCGGCTCGCGCTGAACCAGGGCTTCCCCCACGCCGAGCCCTGTCTTTGCAGCCGGTCTGTAGATTCCTTTTGTTGGTCATTTTTAAAATAATTACCACTTTTCTTCTAGTGCTTTACCAATATGATTTAAATTTGTTAACTCCTTCCCCTAACATATCAGATGTATAAAGACAAAGAACAAAAGGTTTAATATATTACAGAGAAACAGTTAATGTAATATTTTTTAAAATGGATTTTTTGTTGTTTGTTTGGAAGGCAGGGCAGGTTGCCAGAGCTCAATGATTTAATAATATTGTAATTCTGTATTTCTTTGGGGGAAAAGGTATTTTTTTTTTGTCTTGAAAATGATAGACATTTGTAGAATATGGAGACTAACTCCTAGGAGTTGCTTTACTCTGTCAGGTGACGTACGTCACTGGGATTCACTAATTTTCTCTGAGAGAACAGTTGATTGAGAAATTTCTATTGTATATAGCTCAGTGTTGTATAGTGACGCTTCAGGTGATTTGTAGATTCGGCACAAGGGCACAGCCCGAACCACTGACTTCTCTTCCTCCCTGTGTGAGCCTTCCCGCCACCTCATAACCCGCCTTCAGTCTATTTCACGATGAGGCTGAGCAGCTAAGAGCATTTCTGTTTGTATAAAGTGGATCTTAGGCCTCTGGAAACAAACCTGCTCCCACGGGGCCTCTGAACCCTTTTTCTTCCCCACCCAGCCTCTCGACTTTTGCAGACACTTTTTAACGGTGTCCTTCCCGGCTGCCGCTGTCAGCATGACCGTACAGAGCTCCATCAGACACTTTACGTACCAAGAGTTCTATGAAAGCAGAATGCACAAATGAACATGTCATAATTTTTGTTATAATAAATATAAAATTTATAAGTATTGGACCCGTCTGCTTTTGTCTCAGGAGCCGAATATGTCTTGCCAGATGATCACACCCAGCTTGGGTTTGGCATGGATGGATTAATTTGGGGGTTATCAGATATTTCTAACTGACTTTTTTTTTTAAGGGAAAACACCAACAGATGAACCTACGTTGAATGAGGAAGTGAAGTCAGCCCTATGAAATCAGCAACAATATAAGCAGCTGACCTTACAGCCTTTTTGTTTCTTGTTGTTTAGAGGAGATGATAAAAGGGGACTAGATAGAGGCTGCACTGAGGTGGTCCCTGGGAAACGTCTCTCACAAAGCCAAGTTCATTTCCAATTCTCGCAGGGGTCCTTTAGTCACATGAACAGGTTAACAGACCTTTATTTGAACATAAAAATCAGGAGCTGGTTGCCTCAGTCTCCACCACTAGCAGAAATAATGTCAGTGCTGTGGGGCCCACTAGGAAATCCTTGCTTAATGGCTCCATTTACAAACTGTAGCACCACCCCCTCCTCCCCACCTGCATCTTTGGAACTCTTGTTGAAGATACTGTTGGTCTCCCGGTCTCAGGTGGACCAGCTTCCCAGGTAGACCTGTCTTCCTTCAGGTCTGCCCTCAAGTGGAACCTGGCTAGTTCAGTGACAGGACAGTTGGTATTTCTTAATCTGTAGACTTGGTGATGGGCTGTCCATCCCTTTGCTGTGTGGCCAGCTCAGGGGGCCGCCCTTGTCTCAGTAATGTCCGTACTACTTTCCATGTCAGGCTACTTGTACACCACGCCCTTTGAAAACAACTAAGGCCGTGGAAGAAGAGTGAGCTCATCTCAGCTCGTGAGGGACCTAGTGACCAAAGGACTGGACTGCCCACGCTCAGACGGAGCTCTCTGCTCTGGACAGGAAGCAAAAACATGTTAATTTAACCCTGTGCCCAGCCCCCTCACCTCAGTCTTCACCCTGCCCCAGGTGGATGGGAGCAGATTGGAAGGCCCTGGGTTTTCACACCAGTGCCTTATTTGCTACAGAAACCTGGGCTGCTTGTGTGACTTCCCTGGCCCTTCAGTCACCATGGGAGGGCTCACCTGCTGCCCGTCCATGTGGACCTGTCTCCCGCTCAGCTCACTTCCCGAGGAGCCAGCACGTGCTACCCTGAGTGTGGTCAACTGAGGTAGCAGCAAGTTGAGGATCCCTTGGTGGGTCCCACAGTGGCCGCTGGTGCCAGGGCAGCCCCTGGGACTGGCAAGTCCATGGGGAGACTTACCCTGATTTCCCACCTTCTGTGCTGATGTGTGAGAAGAGCTTGGTGTTGCTGTTTTCCAGTTCAACCAGCGCTCGTTCGCTATTAAGTCACATTGAGCACATGCTAAATAAGGCACTCTGGAGATCAAGGACAAAACTTTGCCCTGTGGGAGCTTGGGGAAGATAGGCATGTGGATGGAAAGACGGCAGCAGATGAGCACACGTCAAGTGACCGAAGAGGTGGAGATGCATGAATAGGTCTCCTTGCTCTTGCACACGAGCCACTCAGTTAAGGGGGGGTTTCTTTTCACTTCAGCTCATCAGCATCTAATAATATATGTAGAACTGCTTCTAAAAACTGCAAAGTGTTTAATATTTGAGGATTCCCAAAGCCATGGCATCTCTGGAGGCAAGTGTGAGAGAGGACACCACCCTGCCACCCTTCCTCCTTCCTGCCAGGAAGGCTCCTGGAGTGGTGAAAGGGCTGGGGAAGCCCTGACCAGCCTCGCAGCCTTGCTAAGACTCCTAGTTCCCAACTGAGGACTCTACAAGTTGGTGTGGGATCAGCCACATGCCACCACATGTGGCATGGAATATGGCTCTGAGGAGGGCACCAGGACCAGTGTCTGGTGCCCAGGCACCCTGTCTGACCCGGTTTCTCCTGATTGCTTTTGTCACAGCACCACCTGCTGGTGAGATTAGACTTCGGGTGGAAATGGACTTAACTCATTCTTTATCCTTCCTCTGTTCTTCCAGAAGAAACAAAGTTTAAGTTACTCATTATTTTCCTAGACATGTGACAGAAAGTACTCCCAGCACTAAAAAGGAGGAAGAGAAGCTGCATTAAACACTTAGCATCGCGCCTGTGGGGCTGGCTTTGTAATTGCCGACGACGGCCTACCGGCTCGTGTGATGGGCACTGCTTTCTACAGGAAACTGACGTGCAGCCATACCAGGACGTGTTACCAGTCTTAGTGTTGATGGGGAGAGAGGAAGTCAAACTCCAACATCCATCTGGGCCCCATACCGCATGGTGAAAAGTCAGTAAGTAAAAAGCCATAATCTGCTTTAGCTCCTCTAAGACAACTTCTGAGAGCCAGTTTTTGAGCAGCCCCCCAGAGAAGAAGAGCAACTCCGATTTAATCATTTGACCGTGTTCACTCCCAGGTGGGCACTCAGAGAAAGGCATTTTTGAATTTGCCCTGACAAGTCAGGAGACAGAATTTCTGTTAAGTGCAGGGGCTGTAATATCTGCCCTACCCACATCCCCAGTGATTGAACTAGGTAATGTATTTGCAGCAATCTGTAGATAGTAAAGCCTTATGTAGGTGGAAGTACTGTTACTGTAAATGAAGAACTGAGGGTGGTCAGGTAGAAAATCATTGGGAACAGCCAAAAACTTAAAAACTCTTAGAGAAACAGCTGTTGGAATTGTTATGGTAGGAAGAGATGAGGTCATAGTAGAGAAAAACTGGCTTTTCTCATTCCTTGCCATGGAATTCATTTTTCTTACATCCCCCATCCATTCAAACCTTTTCCCTGTTGTCATCCATCTGTCATGACCTGATTTCTATTGCTATGTATTTGAAAGATGACTCTAAAATTATTTCCCCCAGCCCCAAACTAAAATTGCAACCAAGGTCAGACTTAGTTTGGCAAATCCACTGCCCTGATTAGCAGATGGAAGAAGGAACTACATGGAGCCAAAGCTTTGGGCTGGTGATAAAGTGCTGCTGCACAGCCACGGCCCACCCGCCAGCCTCACCACGCTCATTCACTCAACACACCGAAGGGGTGGTGGCCGTGCTGACATCCTGGGCTCTTGAGGTGTGAGCCAGCAGGAAGGTGGGCTGCAGGCTCTGCATATTGTCCCCTGCCTTGGGGCTGGACATCTGACAGGAGGAACAGGGCAAGGAGGTCCCCAAGGCCGCCTCTGATTCTCTCATCTCTGTGGTGCAGAAAGCTTACTGCCCCTGGCCTGAATTCAGGGGCCGTAAGCAAGCCTGCTTTGTCAGGCTCCACTTTCTTCGTCCCTTCATTTTTTTCCAAGTCGGAAACACAGTGTTCTAGCCAGTTCAAAGGTGAAACAGCAGAACACTTGGGAGAATTTCCTTCCATCTGCTTATGACGAGAACTACTCCCATCGTCATTCCTCTTTTTCTAAAGGCGTGGAAGTAAAACTGGCTCCAAACTGAAATTTCAAGTACTTTCTGGTCATGACAGTTTCTTAGGTCTTACTCCAATAAACTGTACTTCCCCCTAATTACTAATCTATTGAAAAAAGTTGAAATGGCAACCTCAAGATAATTTTCCCAAATGTTGCTACTTCCAGGTGTTGACTTCTGTGAACTCATTTTTATAGGTCATTTGCTTTTCTGAGTCTTTAAGAAAACTGCTACACATTTAGCATTTGGAGGTTCTTAGATCAGTTTCACTTAATCGAAATTGCCCCATAACCCAGGAATAAATTATGCACACAGAGCCCCCCTCTGTAACCCATTGTTGTATAGTCTAGAATACATCTTAAGAACTAGCTGAATATTCCTTTTCCTAGAGCATTTCAGTAGGTTAAAAATAGCTCATTGAGATGTGTGTTACATCCCTGCCTACTACTCTCAGCATAATTAGCCACACTTTTTCCTCAGGAGCTGAAACCACCATCTCTCACAGGTAAAACTATGAGGATTTTATTCCTAGAAACTTCATTAGGCATATTACAATGCTGCATATAATTTGCATAGATTCTCATGTAAACATTTGTATGAGTCCTCTTGCTTTCCAGATTTAAATCTCATGATATTCCTGGGGGCTCAGGTGTTGGGCCTGGGCCTGGCTCCTTCTCTGTCACCGGCACATCTACTAGGGGATGTGCGCGTTGGGGGAAGAAGGGCCCGTGGGCAGGGGAGGTCAAGCACACCGATGGGCCCAGACACACGGCCTTTCTTCTTCATGTCAGTCTGGCCTGAGCATCGGCAGGCAGAAATGGCCCCAGAGTTCACGGGGTGCTGCTTCCAGGCGGAATCCAAACTGTCGCACTGTCACTCTGCCGAGTGACTGGCTGTTTTTTCCTGCTAGATCTCCAAAGATAGAGGTTCCTGGTTCCCCTTCCGTACTGCCGAGGCCCTGCATGAGTAACTGAGTAAGCTGGGCATCTGCTCTGTGCAGCAGCACCTGGCTGGGCCCAGGGCAGTGCAGGCTGCCCACCTGATGAAGTAACCGTACCCTACAGGACCAAGGGTGCAGTGTCGGGGCGGACGCGCCCCCGCCTGAGCTCGCAAACTGGCCAACCCCAAGTTGGGGGTTCTCTGCACACCCTAGTCATGAGGTGTGGTTACTGAGAGCCCGTGCCGCAGCAAGGTCTTCTGTCCACAGTGGCTTTTAAACGTTTCTGTCGTGACTTCCTAAGAAACCACACTGACTTCCCACCTCTAGTGAAACAAGACAGAGAAGGGCCCACCCCCCACGGGCTGCCCCTCTGAAGCCCCACATGGGCCTCACGCCCGGCGGTGGGGCTCCAGAAATGCTGCGGCTCCCGCCCTCGGGAGCTCTGCAGAAGACCAAGCCTCTTCCAGGGGTGCTGGGTACTGAGCGCCAGGATCCGGAGGTGGGCACTGGACCTCTGTCTACTGAGCTTGGAAGACGACCTCTTGAGGCAGAGAAGAATGGAAGGCCCAATGCTCCTTGTTCGGCCCACCAAACACCAGCAAACAGCAAAACCATTTCCCAGCTGTTTTTCTTCAACAGGGAGGGTTTGTTCGGAGCAACTTTGAATTTTGCACACTGTGGAGATAGGTACACCTCATCAGGGGGGATGCTTGCTGGGAGCAACCTCTGCTTCCTCTTGAGCCCCCCTCTGTAACCCATCCCAGGCCCAGACCCTAGACATACACGCCTATTTGTTTTAAAAAAAAAGTGGCAGCCTTACCCGCATCCCAACACACTCGGCTTGGCCACACTGCCATTAGTAATTAAGGCTGATGACCCTTGGCATCTTGGGGCGCAGAAGAGAGGGAGTTTTCAGCAAGTCCTCAGAGGAGTCTGACATGGCCCCCTGCCTCCACTGAGAATCGCTGCCTTGTTACTTCAGCCATGCTTTTGCTAGAAGCCGCCTCAACATCGCAAGGCCCGTGACCTTGTGGCCAGTCCAGCCCTCCACCTTTGCTTGTCCACCTAGGCCATGCAGCAAGGCACTGGTTCCTGCAGATGACACCTCACCAGGTTTGCAGCCTGTCCCCTCCGAGCTCAGAGCTGCTCGTCACGCTTTCCCATCCTGCTTCCTCCTGACCTCCCCGCAGGAGCTGAAACAAAGCATCCCTGTCCCAGCTGCTCACTCCGTGCCTGCCTTTCACCTACAGCCACAGAGCCCCAGTCCCTCCTATCTGTCCTCCCAGAGAAAGGGGACTACGTCTCTGCTGCCACCACCCTGCTGCTCTGCAACCTCAAGGCTTTGTCCCCGCCTCCCGTGGCGCTCCTAGCAACCCCTGTGTATGTGCAGGCCTCTCCCACTTAAAAACGTGAACGTGAAGATCTCCCCCGTGCCTGAGTTTGCAGCCAGCTGTCCTGGCTCCTTCCCTTCTGTGCTGACCTTCCTTCCCTCCATCCCGCCCACACCCTCCCTGCCTTGGGACAGTGGCCTGCTGCTCAGCACTGTCACCAGTGGCCTCCGGGCATGCTTCCAGTGACAGTGACACGTTGCTGCCTTTTACAACATTCGCTACAAGCCCACCGTTTCCTTGTTCAAATCTCCATTTGGCTCCCATCGCTTTCACTCTGCCTTTGGACTGTCATCAAACTGCCTCTCCTCCGCCACGCTTTGCAAGATCTGTGGGATCCAAGAATTGGGCCAAGCCCTCCCTCCGCCTCTGGCGCGCACTCAGCTCTCCCCCTGGGGGTGCTTGTTGTCCCCGCCCTGTCTCCTGCCTGGTCGCAGGCACCTGGCACCTGGCACACCCCACACCACATCTCAGAACCTGGCACGTGTCATCGAGGCCTGTCAGCTGCGCTTCCTACCCCCACCCCCCCGCCGAGACAATGAATGGACACCATTCTAAAAATTATTTCAGCTGTGAAGACAATAGAAGAAGAGGTAATAGGATCAAGAATGAGATTTGACCCAAGACGTGATTGAAGAAACACAAGGTAGGGTCTGGGGAAGAGAATTTGAGCAGCGGAAAGGGCAAGGGCCGGGGCGGGGCGGGCGCGGGGAGTGGGCAGTAATCGCGTCCCTCTTCCTTGCCCGCAGCAGGTTCCGAACCAATGGCGAAATAAGGTAGAACTAAGCAGAAGGGGCAAAAAGGTCACCTGTATTACTTAAAGCTGCCGACGGACAATGTGCCTCGTGCTATTGGGTAAGTGCACTTCGGATTACCGAATCCCCCCGTCAGCGGGCGCACCCCAGCCCCCAGCTCGCTGAGGAGCTGAGCGCGCCCCCTGCGGGTGGTGGCTGACACCCCGGTTCCCGCCAGGCTGAGGGGCCGGGCTGCGCGTGCGCAGTGTGTCCTCCCCGCCTCCCAGCTGGGAGGGAGCGTGGGGCACCAGCGCCGCGGCGGGAGGGCTCCCTGCGGCGGGCCTGCGAGCCCACGGGCGGGCGTGGTGAGAGCTCCGTGACCAGGGCAGGAGGGGCTGAGCGGAGGTGTGGCCGAGGGCCGGGCGATGCTAGAGAAGCTCGTGCCTTTCCCAGGGGCTGGCACGGGGCTGGCGCGAGGCGGGATGTTCAGCAAGTCGATTTCACGTTTCCTTAAGCTCAGGCCACTGGTCCCCTGTCCGCCGCCTCCCAACCCCTGAGCACACAGCCCCGCGGCTCTCACGGGCATCTGGGCCCGGTCATTCGTTCCCAGGGGGTTGTATAAGCACACAAATGCACATAAATGTCTACCCGGCAATGAGCAAAAATACCGGTGAGCCTGAGTATTTGGAAACACTGTCTCCCCAAGTCCTCTCTCTCACTTACCAAGCGTGGTGTCTGGGTGTTCGGGAATTTACGGCTGTGCCTGAAGCGCCAGGAGCCCAGTACCGTCTGCGCCTGACTTGGGGGTGGCCTGGGTGCCTTTGCGCGGGGCAGGGACTCTCTCTTTTCATACGGGCCCTCCCTCTTCGCCACGGGGCGTTTTGCAGGAGGGTGGAGGATTACTGTACACCCCCTAGAGTGTGGGTGCAGATGGCCCTACTCCTCAGCTTCTGTCAGCCCAGCCTAGGAGTGTGGCAGCCCAGCTTCCTGCCCTGGGGCCGGTGCCTGCCGGGAAGCAGGGAATCCCGCGCTCCTCACCGTGTCCTTTGGCATATGAAGTCAGTTCTGTATTTCCTCCCTCTCTGCTTTGCCGTGGTTTTGCCGCAGGGTTATGACCTATGAAGATTTTCAGGTCAGCCATGTGCTAACTGATGGGGATATCTCGCTGATGGAGTACTAACCAGAACTAGCTGTATGTCTCAAATGTCTAATACTCAACAAAATACTAATTTCCTGTCTGGGTTGATTAATCTTACTCTTGTTTTAATTCAGGACTTTGGCAGGAGCTGGAAAACAGCATGGGGAAACGCGGTTTCACAAGCTTGCAGACATCACCTCCTTTCTGTCTGGAGAGACCCCCGTGCGGTTTCCGTCCTGCTGTTGGAGCTTCGGCAGGTTGGCACAGGTACGAGGTTGAACCATGTTCCCTTGTTGTTCTGGTGGACTACAAGTTGGTGGCATATCCCCAATTTCGTGTGGTTCAGCTTGATAAATAGAGTTTTTGGAGCTGTACAAAATGTCCTGTAAAGCTACCCACCCACCCACACACTCTTGGCTTCACTTTGTGCTCCAGCGTATGTTTATGAATTGCCTTTAACTCTGGTTAGGCATTTCACTGTATTTCCCTTTTAAATTGCCTAATGTGCCCAATACAGGCTCTTTCACATGCTCCATGATCAACTGCTATCAAGCAAACTTTCCAAAAACACGTGGAAACCGCAGTCTGGATAATTAGCTGATGGTTGCCTTCTGAATCTCTGCCATTGTCCCCACAGTGGGCGGGCACCTGGGAGCTTCCCACTTTCATCCCATTCCTCCCTGAGCCAAAGACAAATTAGACTGGGCACCGTTCAGGTGTTTTCTCAGTAAGTAGGACCCTCCTTTACAGGTGAAACAGACAAGGCCTGAGGGACTGAGCCCCCACTAAGAGCTGTTGCAGGGCCCGAGGGGAAGGTGCGTGTGCAGAGGGGTACCCTGCGCCCCCAGCGCAAAGCCTTGAGAAGAGGCCCCTTTGTGGCCTCTGAGGGCGAGGAGGAGGGGTGGGGCGGGCTGTGGTCGCGCATGTGCTCCACCCAGAGGACACATCGGATATGCAAAAGAAAATATCAGAACTTCCCTTTATGTTTGTTGGCATTCTGAAAGATGCAAGAGTTAATCCACACATGGCTTGACTAAGTCAGAGGAACACTACCCTAAATGCTTCACATACAGTGATTCACTTCACCTGGACAATAGCACCAGGTGGAGAAGAGGGCTATAATCCTCATTTAAAGAATTTGAGGCTGGGTGGGCACCAGTGATAAATTCAAGGTCACCACCGGGAAGTGTGAGAGCAGGGGCTTGAACCTAGGCTAGCTGGCTCTGAAACTCTCTCATCATCATATTATAACCATTTCAAGGGTGAGATCAGCCCCATCACACACACACACACACACACACACACGTTCCAGCTTCATGTCTTACTGAGACGTACAGGTTTTCAGACCCTGGGTCGGAGCCCTCACGAGGGAAGGAACCATATGCTGTGCTGTGCTGATTCTGACCCACCACTGGGAATCTGGGCCCCCATGGACCTCAGTTTGTAAAGGAAGAGCTCTTGTCATTCCCTGCTCCTGAGGTAGCACTAGGGCAGTAGGTTAATCCTCTTGGTTAATCCTTAATCAAACAAAAGCATGAGTTTAGGGCAAGTAGCACGGTTTTCTGTCCCACTTAACTGCTTGTTTCACGGATAGTGCCTCTGTCAGCACTTAGGAGAGTCTGGGACCTTTTCATTCTCCATGCATGTGATTTCACAAAGTTAATCTTAAAAAGAAAAGGAAATGGGCTTTGGATTTTTTGGTGTCTGTGAATCTATCACTAGTGACAGAGTTGTGACCTCACTGCTCCAGTAAAGCTCAGGGGAGGAGAGACTCCCCGGGGGAGGGATGGGGGTTGGGGGGGATTGGGGAGGATCCAGGATGTTACAAACCAGATTACAGGGCATTGGAGAGGCCCCGGGACTGAGGGAGGAAGGATTTGTCCAGTTCAATGCAACGATGCAATGTAGGAGAAAAGCTGCTTTTTTGTAGAAGGAGGAGCTATAACCCTGAGGTAAGGCTTCGGGTAAGTTCTAGAGTGTTCTCTACCTTCTCGTGGAGTGTACTGGAGATGTGGGAAGGAGGATTACAGACTGACTTTCAGAAGGTAGGAGACAGACTTGCAAAAAATATCTGGAACCCCACTTAGGTCATTAGTTTTTTATGTTTGATTGATTGCTTAGTACTGAGAAAGGTTAAAATATGGCGATAAAAAAGGATCTGGGTCCTCCCTTGTTTACACATTCTTTTCTCATTCCAAGATTTTAAATGGGTCCCTCCCATCTTGCAAGTCCTTGAAGAAGGGATCTTGCCTTACTGATATTTGTATCTCAGGGGCTGTCTGCGCCTGAGACATTATAAGCTTTCAGCGTATTGTCACGTAGGTACGTATGAAAGAAGCACCAACTTTGCAAACACTGTGATTTTGTTGTCTTTTTTATTATGCTCTTCTTACGAGCACCTCTTTACAGTGGTGGTAGAAGAGGAACAAAGCTTTCTCCCACCCAGGAAGCCAGGGACCGATTAGAAAATACAACTAATAATTTTTTTTCTGAATATAAAAAGTTTGAAAAGATCAGAACATTAATGAAGAAAAAAATGACCATAATCTCATTAACACATGAACGCTGTTTCATTCCCTTCCAGTCTTTTTTCTAAGCACTGTGTTTTAATACACAATTTTGATGATACTATATTCAATATCCTTTCCTTCCTGTTATGTTTTGAGCATCCCCCCTTGTTCATGACAATTCTTGGTAAACATTTTTAAAAGCTGGTAATATTTTGTCAGGTAAAAGTACCATAATTTGTTCAGATGTGTTGTAATGGTGGTCATTTGGATGGGTTCTGGCTTCATCTTTGCTATGACCCTGGTTAAATTTATGCACAGTCGGAGCAAGAGGCGGGAAGCTAGGCTGTTACTCTCTGTGAGTTAGGAGGCTGTGGCCCTGCTTTCCAGGCGTGGGGAAGACGCAGCCCCGCCGAGAGTGGTGAAGGGCCGGTGGGCTGGGCAGTGTTACCAGAGGGAGGAGAGTACTGAGCTCCAAGCACTGTGATGAAACGGAAAAATGCCCCCCATATTTTTTCTTCCTGGAAGAAGAAAGGAAATTCACTGAAGAGAAACTTCTGATATAGCTTTGGGCCAATTCTTAAAGAGTCAAATTCATCTCAGCTTTGAGAAAAAATCCACAATTTTTATTTATCTTCTCTGTGAAATGTTCCTTTCAGTGGCTGGTGGTTGAGAGCCACAGAGGAGGTTTGCAGTGCACAGTCTCCCTGAGAGGGTGCATGTGTGTCTGTCACAGTCATGACTCGGGGAAAGGGCTTAATCAGGTGTCCTAGTGCCCAGAGAAAAGCGGCCACCCGGGTCAGGAGCAGGGGTGGCGTCACAGAGGGGTGCGTCCTGCAGTGGTCCTTGGAGAATGTTCGGGAGGTAGCCCATGGAGAAGTGGGGTGACAGCATCCCCGCCAGGGGCACTGTTGTTTCTGGTATGTGAGGTCAGGACACCAACAAGGAGCTCAAGTTATCTGAGCCCGGATTCTTAACTGCTTCGGCTGGAGCAATCTTTTACCAACATCGTATCAGATCTCATTGTCCTGCCTCTTTAAAAAAAGTTACTCTTTTAAGGTCATAGGGTATATGAACTTCAGCAACTCTTTTTATGTAAATGCCAAGAGGAAGAAAAATTTGCCCAATATTCCTTTGAGGTTGAATTTCATATTGTTTATGCAGCCCCAAACTGGCACACTGTTGGTGGACTTCAGTGTATCTTACCTACGCCAAGTACCATCCGCATAGTGAGAGCCCGCTGTCTCTGTCGTATCTTTGCATGTGGGCATTTAACTGGCATCACAAATTCATCCCTAAACAGAACTTCTGGTTTTCTACCCTCCCCAAAGAACCTCTCTTTGTCTTTCTTACTACAAAAACACCAGGAGTCACCCTTGATTCCGGTCCTCTCATCACTGCCCCCAGCCAGCTCCTCAGCAGTTCTGTCTGCTTCATCTTGGAAATGTGTCATTCTAAACCTTCCACGTCTGTCCCTCTCCCTGCTTGCCCAAGCCACCATTCTCTGTCAGGTGGGCTTCTGTACAAAGTTCCGTTGGGTAACCTCCCTCCGTTTTCCACCAGAACCACCATTTCAGAGCGTGGGCCATGCCAGGTTCCCGAGCCGTCTCCATTGCTCCAGAATGAACCAAACTTTTCACGGGGGCTGCCCAGTCACCTAGGACCGGCCAGCCTCCCCAGGCAGCCTTGCCCACTCTCGCCTCCCTCTAGGCCAGGGCTTCTTGACCTCAGCACCCGTGACATTTTGGTCCGGATACTGTTCCGAGTAGGACGTTGAGAGCCATCTCCGGTCCTGCCCGCTGGCTGCCAGTAGCTCCCTCCCACACCTGTGTCCACAGAAAGGTCTCCAGACATTGCCAGATGTCACCTGGGGGCAGAATCAGCCCTTTGGAGTCACTAGTCATGTCCCGCTGAACAAGCCGTGTGTCTCCCCGTGTAGGTCCTTGTGGCAACTCCCCGCCGGCCGAGCGCTCATGCTCAGATGCCCTCATGCCTGCCTCCTCCTCTCTCTCAGCTCAGCTCAGACGTCACTCTTCAGGAGGGTCCTCTTAACCACCCAGACTGAGATGGCCTCTTGGAAGTCACCCTGGACTACACCACGGCATTTTAATTCCCTCACATCAAGAGGTGAAAGGATCTTGTTTCTTTGTTCACCATTCCGTCATTGGTTGTGAGCTTCATAAGACCAACAGTTGCAGCCACAGAGAGGGGAATGTGGCAAACTTCAAAAAGTCTTGGGGGAGTTTCTTTTAACAGCATCTTCTCGCCTCAGCTACCTCGGTCTGGTGACTTAGTGCTGGGGGTCCCAGTGAGTAACCCCATGGATCCAGTCTCCTGGCAGAGAAGTTCACGTGGCCTTTCTGGCTCTGACAGAAAGGTCTCGTCTGGGGCAACCCAAGCAAAATGCAGCAGGTCAAGGGGAGTCAGGTCTTGGAGAGGTTATTGACTTCAAGGGAGCTCTGAGGGTTGTGTCTGCAGTAGGAAGCTAATCCAGTAGGAAGCTGGCAGGGAAGGCTCCCTGCTGGGGGCCCAGCTGAGAGGGGGCAGGGGCTGCATCTCAGGGCCAGAGCGGCCCTCCCTGCCCAGCAGCTCGGTGCCCAGCCCATCCTCCTGACCACTGCCCCATCACACATCTCCCTCCACATCCTTTCTCCCCACATCCCACAGGATGCGTTTCCAGGGCCTCCAGCCAACCTCTCGACTCTCTTCTCTTCGCCAAACACAAGAGCCAATTCTGTCTTCTTCCGGCCTCACTGAAGC